CGCGGCTGTCACCGGCTGTGCCGGGACGATCAGTCATCAGTGTCACTGCTCGTGGGGTCAGAGGGAGAAGGAGCGGTTTTCCTGAGGATTATGCCGGTTGTGGTACCCTTACAGCAGCATTTCAACGCACGGGTAAACTATGGGAAGGAAGCCAATTAATACGGGCCCGCTCAATTAGCCAAAACTGTTACAAAAAACAGGCTTCCTTATATGAAAAATTCCAAATTTATCTACTCCTCCAAACTATCCATACCCATTCCTAAAAAGCAGAAGTGACAGAAAAAAGCTTTTTCCACTGAACAACATTAATGGCATCATCTTCCTTTCCAAGGAGAATCATCACCTTTTTTTGCTGGGAAGCTTGTCACAACCGCAAAATTCCTAAAAACACCATTCACGCGCAATTCCTGTCAACGGAGATCAGAAAACACCACAGAAGATGACCGAAGTGGTGAGGAGCGCAGCGGTGGCTGCGGCAGCCCCAGGGCAGTGCTCGGGCACCGGCGAGGGCACACCATGACACGGCAGCACGGTGCTGTGCTCCGCTTCCCCGCAGGCGGCAAATGGCGTGCATCGCCGTAAGGGACCTGGGGACCAACGGGACACCGAACCCCGCGTGGATGAGCAGTGGGAGGTGACGCACAGAGACAAAAGGGTCAGAGCCCCTCTGCTGGGAGGACAGGCTGGGAGAGTTGGGGGGTTCAGCCTGGAGAAGAGAAGGCCAAAAAGGGGAGAGCTCAGAGCCCCTTCCAGTGCCTAAAGGGGCTCCAGGAGAGCTGGGGGGGACTCTGGGTCAGGGAGGGGAGACGTGGGACGCGGGGGGACGCTTTGACACTGACAGAGGGGAGACTGAGATGAGATATTGGGAAGAAATTCTTCCCTGTGAGGGTGGTGATCCCCTGGGGCAGGTTGCCCCGAGGAGCTGTGGCTGCCCCATCCCTGGAGGTGTTCAAGGCCAGGTTGGACGGGGCTTGGGGCAACCTGGGCTAGGGGGAGGTGGCCCTGCCCAGGGCAGGGGCGGGCCTGGATGGTCTTTAATGGTCCCTTCCCACCCAAACCATTCTGTGATTCTATGATAAAAGCACTGCGGGAATCGGTGCCCCCTGCAGCGGTGGCAAAGAGCAACCGCAGGTTGCCACTGGTACAGGCAGGGGAAAGCTAACGGAGACTCCGCTGGGAGCAGCTGGGAGAGGGGGACACTGCGAGAACTCCTGGCAGGGACAGGCATTGGCCACCAAGCTCCGCAGCACCATCCTGGCAGTGCGGCTTCTCCTGAGCTGGGAGCGATAATGCAGACAGCAGAAACTGGGGAGAGCTGCTGGGACCACGACAGGCGAGGCAAGGGCTCGGGCGTCCGTCCGATCCAGCGACGAGGGGTCTGAAGGCTGACCAGTAACGGGGGCTGCCAAGGCAGGGGGATTCTGAAGCCTTTCAATTAATTTTGTTACTTCTACAATGTCAATACCTGCACCATGAAATGACCCGACGGTAAAAAGGCTCTGAACAGAGGATGCCGTCAGGCCTTGGACAACAAGCTCTCAACTACTCCACCGAGACAGAGGGCAGGAATTGCTCAGAGAGACATGAAAACCGCTCGTTAATGCCCCACCCAAACAACAGGAGGCTTATCCTCAACTTAATAACAGACAAGTAGGTCGCACCAAGAGAACCGGTTTGCCCGCGGCTGCCCCGGGAGCCAGCGGGAGGCAGAGCCACAACTCCAAAGCCAGGCTGGGCAGAGAACTGCCTCCAGGGGAAACACCACAGTCTAGGAAATGCAATTGAAAGCTTTTAATTTGTTTTAATTACTCTGTGAAGTGGGATTTAGGCGAAGGGAACAGCACTGCAACCTGGGAACAGCCAGGCAATGCTGCTGGCTCCTTGTAAGGAGGGTGCTCAGTTCCAGGCTGCTGCACCACGTCCTTGGGGACTGTCACCTCCCAAGAAACCCAAGAGCCCTTGTGATGGCGGGATTTGGCCATTAAAGGGACTGCTGCGTTAGCTTCGGTGGGAGATTTAACCTCCCTGTTCTGTGATTTCTTTGTCTGAGAAGAGGGAATAACGCACCCTGGAGAAGGGCTCTTGATGGACCGGTGGTTGAGCAGTCCTCAGGGGACGGCGCTGTCACGTACCTTCAGTTTGTCATCCGCATCACAATGTGGGGGGAGAACGCAAGAGATGCCTTTTGGTCCAGAAGCAGCATGTCACGATTTTGTAAACTCCCAACCCCACACAGATTATATCAGATTCTCCCACAAGGTATTTCTCCCGGGCCTACAAAACATCTACCAACATCTGCAACAAGGCCAAGTGCGGGGTCATGCTCCTGGCTGGGGGCAACCCCTGGTCCCAGCAGGGGCTGGGGATGGAGGGATGGAGAGCAGCCCTGAGGAGAAGGGCTTGGGGGTGCTGGGGGTGAGAAGCTCCCCATGAGCTGTCAACGTGCGCTGGCAGCCCAGCGAGCCCCCGGCACCCCGGGCTGCATCCCCAGCAGCGTGGCCAGCAGGGCGAGGGGGGACTGTGCCCCTCTGCTGCGCTCTGCTCTGGGGAGACCCCCCTGCAGTGCTGCCTCCAGCTCGGGGGCCTCAGCACAGGAGAGACATGGACCTGGTGGAGCGGGGCCAGAGGAGGCCCCGGAGCTGCTGGGAGGGCTGGAGCCCCTCTGCTGGGAGGACAGGCTGGGAGAGTTGGGGGGGTTCAGCCTGGAGAAGAGAAGGCCAAAAAGGGGAGAGCTCAGAGCCCCTTCCAGTGCCTAAAGGGGCTCCAGGAGAGCTGGGGAGGGACTTTTTACAAGGGCATGGAGTGGTAGGATGACGGGGCCTGTGTGGGTGGTGATCCCCTGGGGCAGGTCGCCCCGAGAAGCTGTGGCTGCCCCATCCCTGGAGGTGTTCAAGGCCAGGTTGGACGGGGCTTGGGGCAACCTGGGCTGGGGGGAGGTGGCCCTGCCCAGGGCAGTAGGAACAAGATGTTCTTTAAGGTCCTTTCCCACCCAAACCGTTCCGTGATTATCTCATCAGTCCAAGCCCCGAGGTGTGGAGGGCACGTTCAGCACAGCTCCGCAGCGCAGCACCAGTGGCTGCCAGCCCCTCCATCCTCCTCCAGCCGAGCACACACTGGGCACTGGGTCACCACCAGCAGCATCTCAGCAGCTCCTGGCTCGCCTCCTTCCAGGGCCAAGAATTCAGACCATTCGATGGCCCCTGTTCCCAGGACCGCCTGCCACAGTCGCAGGACATGGACTTGGCATGAGACCTTTCAAACCTCCACCCTTTGAGCAACTTGTGCAGCTCTAGAGCCGTGCACGGCGCTCCTGAGCCCAGCGGTGAGGTCAGGACAGGCAGCACATCCCTCCCCGGGCAGTGGTTCTGCTGTGGATTAAGGGACTGGGAGAACTGGGACTGGAGAACTGCCTGGGACTGGCAGCAGATCCCTTCACCAGTCTGCTTTCTTTTAGCTTCCAACATTTTGACTGTCTTATTTAGATGCCAGCATCCTTGTAAGAGAGAATTCCTCTCCTCGAACGGAGCCTTGTAAATGAGCATCCACTGCAACTGGGGCAACGTTGTAAACAAACAGCTTTGCCTTGTCACTTATTTCTACTGGTGCTCATGTAAGAGAACAATTTTATTCCTCTTCAATAAAGTTATCCGTTATAATCTCCAAAGCCAAGACAACAAAAAATTATTCCTTTTTCCAGCAGGACGCACACGTGTACTGTACCTGCTTCCGCTGAGTCAGTGGAAGAGTGTAGTCAAGACTGTGATGTGAAGGAGACAGCGGCCAGTGGATTTGCTCAACAGTGACAGAGAGGCTCCATCAGAATTCAGAGGTGTTTCCCAACCCCACAATTAAAAAAGGAATGAAACAATAACAACAATCACATAGACCTATCTCCTTCTCTTTCAGTGTTGGTACAAATTGGTAATACCTTGTGCGCAGAAGCAGATGACGTGGCTAGAAACCCCCAGAACAGAGGGAAAGCCACAGACACTAAAGATCACAGTACAGAAGCGCACTGTTTGGATCAGAAACTCGGCTCAGGATGGCACACGGCCTCCTCAGCCAGACGGGGAGCTCGGCAGCCCACAGCCTCAGAGTCTGCAGGCACCCCGTCACATCAGCATGACGCGCATCAGAACTAACCTCGTCGCTCTCCTCCACGTCCACGTTGCCGTTGGCATCGTCGTCCATCTGCTTGTGGATGTTGCGGACGGCTTCGAAGCTGAGCTGCTCGTCTTCATCGTGGCACAAGGGCTTGTCGATGCGGCAGAACTCTGCTGAGGGAGACAACACCAGCGTTAGGCAGCCTGTACCAAAAATACCACCGGTGTGTTTTCTCACTAAGCTTCTTGAGTTTGAAAAGCACTTCCACCGCCCCGGGCCTCCCGGTGCCCGAGGGCAGGTCTCGCAGCCGGAGCCTTCTCCTGCCGCGGTGTCCACCGATGCCCCGCTGGCAGGGGGAGGGCAGGACCCAGCTGTACTTTACCTCCTATTTCACCACCTTCATTTCTCCCTCGGACATTGTTAGTGTTGACACGGGGTCTAGCGAGGACATTTGGAGAGTAAGAGTTGTATGTTTATATAACGCGTCAATTAAAAAAGCCGCCTTCCTGATTATGAAATGGATTTTTCTGGCCTGTTTTCTACATATTTTTCCCTATTTCAACACTAACACTTTAAACTTTGCTGCGTGCCTGAGTCCATGTAAGCACCCAACACGGCTGATCCATCCCTTCTGGAGGCCATCCTCCCCCTCTGCTCTGCCCTGGGGAGGCCACATCTGGAGCACCGTGTCCAGTTCGGGGCTCCCCGGGTCAAGAAGGACTGGGAACTGCTGGAGAGGGTCCAGCAAAGGGCTACGGAGATGCTGAGGGGAGTGGAGCATCTCTCTGCTGAGGAAAGGCTGAGGGACGTGGGGCTGTTCAGTCTGGAGAGGAGAAGACTGAGGGGGGATCTCCTCAACGCTGATCAAT